CTTGTTACTTTCAATGGATGGATGGATATTTTTTAACAAGGGGAAAGGAAGAGTTTAGTGCAGCTTTAGGAGATTATTATGCTAGTAATAATGCTAGTAAAGGTATAAATTAATATTACCAAACTATATAAAAATACTTATCAATTTTTAATTAAAAGGAAAATAAAATCCAATGAGTTTCTTATTCTGTTTAAACTTCAGTGGGATGCTCTCAGTTTCTTTTAGGCATTAGATTGTTATTGATATTCATTTAAAAAACAGACATTTATTGAATACTTACTTAATGTGCCAGATTCTCAACTGAGTGCTATTCTTAAATCTCAGGCGGGTGGGCGGGCGGGTGTGTGTGTGTGTGATGCTCCTGACTTTTCTTCCAAAGCCCATGCAGTATATGTATTTCCTGTGATTGGGATCCTCATTATATGCATTTTTCAACTTAGAGAGTGACCTATTAATTTTGTATCTTAGCCCATTGTGTCTGTGTTGTTCACAGTTGATATAATTCATAGTCCCTTGAATAATTATTTTATGGCAAAGTCTGTTGTTTTATTGTGGTTGGTGTTGTTTGTTTGGTCAAGGATGACTTGTTTTCTTCCAAAATGCCTAATTAGAATTTTAGGGGGGGAAATCATTCTTCCGAGTAATCCACTAATGTTAATTGGAAGGGGGCAGCACAGTATAAAATGGTCTATATGGGCTCAGGAGCCAACTTTGTATTCTTACCCTAAAAGCAGTACCTGTACTCTTTATCTGCTTATCCTTTATTTACCCAGTGATTGTTCTCAGTAACTGTTATGAATTGGATCTTGGTTTAAATTCTCTATGAGAATCTTACTATTAAAAACCTATGACAAGTACTTTTGTAAATGTAAGACTTTCTGGTTTATAATCAACACTCATTTATTAATTATTGGGATATTCAAAATAATTGAGCACATTTGCATCCCTAGTTTGCCTTTTATTTAGTTTGCCTTTTTGCTTTTTTTCCATTTCTAATTGTACCATTTGGCTTGATGTCACTGATGCTTCATTATTTTCTGACAAGGTAATATTTGGAAACATGGAATCTTTTTTTAAAAAGATTATTTTTATCAACAAAGTCATTGATGATCCTCCACTTATATTCTTAAAAGCACTATTTGAAACTCCTTCTGAGCAGTCATTTCTACTTCCACACCGCAGGTATAATGACAGAAGCAATCTTGGATGAGGTCATACTGAGAGTGTGCCTCTTTCAATGAGCTGTTGCAATGGGTGCCTTGGAAAGGCTTGATTTGGACAGGTGGCAGTCCCAAATTATAACCTATCTTTGATTAAACCATATGGAGAAGATAGAAGCACTCATTCTTATGCCTGGGGCTGCATATTAAGCGGCTTCAACAGTGTAGGAGTGGAATGCAAACTGGCATATGGGCAACTGAGAAAGGAGCACACGCTTTCATGCAGAAGGGCACTGCAATATGCGTCTCTGCGGGCTTGCCATTTGAAATGGATTGTGTCTTTTCTTTCCTCCCCCAGTGTGTATTTTCTTTTTATTTCTCCTCTGCCTCTCTCCCTTTCTCTCTCTTACTCTCTATACAAGGATCAATAGGTTCTTTTTTTTTTTTTTGGTATGTGCCCCTAGCGGGAACTGAACCCAGGACTCTCTGGTCCACAGGCTGATGCTTCAACTGCTGAGCCAAACCGGCCAGGACAGGATCAGTAGGTTCTTATACAGTCTCCTGAATAATAATGTAGAAATCTTAATATTGTATCAAAGTAGTCATCTATTCAACAAGAATTTGAACACTTGCTCTGAGCCAGGGACTTTGCTGGATACGAAGAATACAGACAAGGTTCCTGCCTCAGGAGCCTTCACCCATGTAGGGAGAGGAGATATGTAAGCAAGGACTGCAGTGGGAGCCTGTACATGGTAGAGAGTAAACAGGGAAACCAGTAATTGGGCAAGGGGACAACATTTCAAGAAAGGTTTAGAAGATAAAGTGTATATTTGAACAGGTGCATGAAAGTCATTATGGTTGAACTTCAGGAAATAGGGGGATCAGACAACAGAAATAAGCCAGAGATCATTTTAAGACAGGTCATGGATGACTTTCAAACTTTTGGAGTTTGTCTTGATCCATTACAGGATTATCGTCTTTAGGAGGAACATTATTAGTTTTATATTTTAGCAAGACCCTCTGCTTGAGATTTTAAGAAGATGAATTGGCAGAGGAAAAATTAGGAGCCTAAAGGCCACTTGGGAGATTCTTGCATTAGTTGGGGCCAGAGATGAGAATGCTGGGATGAATGCAACAGCAGGGGGATGGAGGGAGGAAGGGGACGTGTTAGGTAAGCATGGTACAAAATACAACGTCTTGATTACTAACTGGATGTAGGACGTGAAATAAAGGCCTGTGGAACAACTTCCAAGTTGCTGATGTAATGATCAGGTGGATAATCTCTACTCTCTTGATGAGTGTACAAGAAGAGAAGCAGGTTTATTTAACAGGATAATGAATTCTGTGCTTATCAAGTGTATAAAAAAGAGGTTGCTAGAAGTACATTTGAGTCAACTGTTAATCTTAGAATCTTTATAACATTTTAAAACAACATCGAGTATGATTTTCTTTATGTGATTTATTTTAAAAAATTAAATATTATTTTATTGCTAATCTCTAAATGTATAAGAAAGTAGCATTTGAACTTATTTATAGATGTAATAATTTGTTACATATGCATATGTTTTTGTCTTGGAGTAGTAAATAATGACAGTGCTTAATAGTACCTATCAAGATGTGCAGCCAAAAGTTCTTTATATTTTTTTATTAGCGGTCCATATAAATTAAGGCTCAGGCATACAGTCTAGCTGTATAGCAATGTAAAATTGTCCTGCTTTCAATGTGTATTATGAGTATCTTGAATATTTTCAGAATCATTTAATTAGAGTAATATATAGTAGGAATTTTCATATTCATTCCACCATGGTGTCACATATTTTGCTGAAATTAAAAATAAATAAAATAAAACTAGGCTTTCAGGGTACTGTTGCCCTGAAGAAGATTACATGAGATTTTGGAAAATTATGAGTATTTTATAAGACAATACTATTAGAGTTGCTGGTAATTAAATTTGGTAACTATAAGCATATACAACTACTCAAATCCGTAAAAGTGAGTGAGATTACTGAGGGACTTTCTCTCTTCTTCCACCTCTGTACCTAATCCAAGGCATTATGACCACCACCACCGTCACCTTCATCTGCATCATCATCATCATCATCATCATCATCCTTTACCTGGTCTAATTCAGTAAAGAGCTGAGCACTACCCACCACTCTGCTTCCATGCTGGGTCACCTACCTGCTCCATTTCTCACACAGGAGCCAGAGAGAGGATATCATATTGCTTCTTTATTAGTAACAATAAAAACAATAATGCCTCCCATTGCAGCCAGTAAAACTCATACTTGTCACCATGCCCTACCATCTAGACATTGCCTTGGACTATTCTTCCCTCTCCCTCCCTCTACCCCTACCACACTGGCTGCTTTGTCCTTTTAAAGAACACCAGCTATTCCTCCCTAAAACGTTCATGCTAGCTGTCTCCTCCATCTGGAAACCTTCCCTCGAAATCTTTCACATGAATGACTCCTGTTATTCAGTTACAATGAAAATACCAGCACTTAAAAAAGATCTTTCCTAACCACTGAGTATATTTTTTAAACGAACATGTTCTCATTTTGAGGGTCATTTTTTAAAAATCACATCTGGGTTTAGGATATGCTCACATGAAAAATATGTACCATCATCAAAAAATTATAAATTCTTTATTAAATATTACTTTGCATTATTTTGTACTTTCCTACAGGTTCTCTATTCTTTCCTGGTGTAGTGTAGGCACAGGCTGACTGCCTTAGTCTGTTTGGGCTGCTGTAACAGAATTCCACAGTCTGGGTGGCTTATGAACAACAAATTTATTTCTCATAGTTCTGAAGGCTAGAAAATACAAGATCATGATACAGATGAATTCGGTGTCCGGTAAGAGCCTGCTCCATAGACAGCCATCTTCCTGCTATGTCTCCACATCATGAAAGGGTTGAGGGATCTTTCTGTGATCTCCTTTATGAAGACACTAATCCCATTCTTTTGGGTTCTGCCTTCATGACTTAATCACCCTCCAAAGGCCCCATCTCCTAATACTGTCACGTTGGGTGTTAGGATTTTGACAAAAGAATTTGGGGAAGGGGTTGACAGAAACATTCAGTCTACAGCACTGACCTATGTCCTAATGAAAGTATGTGCATAGAAAGCATCCATCTCCTGATGGAGGTAGGTGTACCTTGCATAAATGCTAAGACTTCTACAACTGCTTTAGGTAGAATGTTTTATACAAGTCACTCAAGAAAAATGGGCAACTGAAAAATGCATGTGATGTGATGTGCTGACTGTTTTTAAAGACATATATGGAAAATACTAAAAAAAAAAAAAATTCACAAATGACTAAAAAGTCCATGAATCAGAACAAACATTGCCAAGGCCACAGTCATCCTCTGGTGAATTTAACAAGTATTTCTCTTAGAAGCAATCAAGCTTAGCTCTCAGAGTTGAATAGGCTTAGGTCTTCAGTAACACACGGCACAGCACAGGGATTGTAACTCTATTTAATTGCTGTATTTACATGTGTCCAGACCGTTAGGAGACCCAGCAGCTCCCTTGAATCTCTAGCAAGTGGTCATATGCCTCATAAGTTAAACCTTTTAGAAAGTAAAAACATACCACCTTCCAGGGATGTTTTATAAAAATATAATCTATCTGTGCTTTTGAGAACCATATATAGAAGGTCAGTTATACTTCTTGATAAGTTTTCATGACATGATATTCAATATGAGGAGTAAGGTTTATTATCATCTATATTTTATCAGTTCTGTGTCAGACTCTTTCAGGAAAAGTTTTTCGCCGTGTTTTACAAATGCCTTATGTTACCTCTCTGACAAACACTGTTTCTGCTTGACTATTTCAGCACTTTTATGTAATGGGAAATTTCACAAACACTTGCAAGAAATCTTTGTGCCCTTGGTTGTTCGCTACGTCGATCTCATGGAGTCCTCCATCGCCCAGTCAATTCACAGAGGTTTTGAGCAAGAGACCTGGCAGCCTGTCAAGTAGGTATCTTGCCTAGTGCCCATACAACATCTGCCTCTTCTATCCCGACCTTATGACTTTACACATGGCCATCTGTAGATATTGCTTATGGTGGTCCCTTCCCACATTGTTTGTTTCTTTACAGGAATATCGCCAACAGTCTTCCCAATGTAGCTCTTCCAAAAGTTCCAAGTCTGCCTCTTAATCTTCCACAGATTCCTAGCCTTTCTACTCCTTCGTGGATGGCTTCTTTATATGAGTCCACGTGTGTATTCCTCATTTATTTCCTGGTGCTGTGTTAGCTAGTGCATGGCCTGGGCTGTGTTCTGTGCAGATGCATTTAGACTGCATGGCATTTATCATTGTTGGTTGAGGAGTAATATGTTTTTGGTTTTGTTTTGTTTTTTTGAGCTGTTAAGCTAAGCTTAGCACATGGATAATAAATAATATAGCTTTTTAAAGAAATACTTACTGGTTTGATGTAGTTTGTATGTAATCTGTGGGGCAAGAGTTATTTTGTGACCCAGGTTGTAGACTCTGGCCTAAGTGACATAACCTGAGTTCTCCAAATTCAGACAGTCAGTGTGGTAAACTGTATGTCTGGGGTCCTTAGCTGGATCCAGCTTAGTTACTGCCCACATGACTTCGTTTGTGCATGTAGAAAACCATAGCAAGGACAGATTCAATAATATAATCCTTTTCTATTTTTATCTTAGTCTCCCCTTTAACGGCACAGTTCTGCTGGTTACAGAGAAGGGATTGTCCTTTATTTCCCAGCACCGGCAAGGTCTTCTTTTGTCCTTTCATATATCAGTTGATATGCCTTGTTATTTTTAAATGATCTCTATACTGTATTTAACTCCATGTTGTGATGCACCTACCTACTGCACATTTGGTAACTAAGAGTCATTCAAGTGAAAAGGACACAGACTTTCAAATCGATCAGGCTTGGGTTTAGGCCCTTGTTTATTCATTCTTAAGTCTTTCTTAGCCTCAGTTTCCTCAACTCTAAAATGGATATGATACCTAATTTCAAGACATTCTTGTATGGATTTTTTAAAAGTTATGAAAAGTACTTGGCACATCCTAGGTACTCAATATATGACTACTACTATTCTACACATGATTGTTATTACTATAATTATTATTACTATCATCAATCATCAATCATCATGATTATTATTCTTAGTGGTATAGTTTTCAAAAGTATGACCTTTACAGCAATCAGATGAACCCAGTAATAGCCTGTACTTGGCCCAAGATGTCATATGAAGTCAGCCAGAAAGAAAATAATTAGAAAAAAACTACAATTTATTGTGAATTTATTGTGTTCCAGGTACAGTGCCAAATGCTTTATTGCATCTAAGCCTTATAACAACTCTGAGAGGTAAATGCCATTATCCCCTCTTTACAGTTAAGGAAACTAAGTCATAAAGAATTTAAGAAAAAAATTTGCCCAATATCTCACAGTTAGGAAGTGACATAAGTAAGATTGGAACCCAGGTTTGTTTGACTTCAGAACCCCCACTTATGATTTTCTTGCTTCCAGAGAATATACTGGTTAAGAGCTTGTTTAGCATCCTTTCTACCTATAGTACCCTTTCTTAAAGGTAATCCCAGTCTAGTCGGCATACAATCGAGAAAAGAGAGACTGAGAAAAAGAACAATATGAAAGTTAGTTTGGCAATATTTCTGAAAGTTAGACATCACTGTACTCATAATATTTATTAGGATATTAGGTTATGTGTGAATCTTATTCTTGTAGGCAAATGCTTTGAGCCATTATAGTTTGTGTCAGGTGGTGCCTGTGTATGCTCAGAATTATCTAGGAAGTATGATGGACATTTATAAGTTTATGATTTTTTTACTTCTATTTTTTTAGCTTTGACATATGTGTAAACCTTGTATCTCATTCTTGGAGGCCCTTTTTTAAAGTGACCTGCGTCTCAGGACAGGGATCAGGACAAATTGTGGCTTTGTAAATTAAGTGCTTGTACTTTTATCATTCTGGGCAAATAAAAGATGTGATTTAAGTCAGTGACTATTATCTTTACCTGCCAAGATGATCAATGTTAGGCTCCTTGTCAAAGTGTCAGAATTACTCATAATATTGGGATGTCATTGCAATTAGTTTTTTGAACTTTGGCTAGAAAGCATTTATTTATTTATTTTCTCATATGGTTGTTTTTATGAGTCCACTTTTTCTCTTGAATCACTTTCCCTTCAGTATCTCTGGATATGAGCTCATGTCTGTCTTTTCTCTGAGCTTTTGGACACTTTTCCCAATGTCAAGTGAGTGTACGCTGATTTTATGTGGTGTTTCATCCCTCCTGTCCTAGGAATTCCAGGATGTGCTCATCATACCTTTATAAACTTTATTATTTTTAGACCATTTTAGACTTACAGAAGAGTTGAAAAGTTAGTCCAGTGAGTTCTCAAATACCCTCACCCAGCATCTCTTACATGTGTCTACATAATCATAGAACAATTATCAAAGTGAAGAAATGGATCTTAGAACTAAATTACTGTTAACTGAATTACAGAATGTATTTGTATTTTACCAGTTTTTCCGCATGTGCCTTTTTTGTTGTTGTTGTTTTGTTTTCTTTTTTTTTTTCAAATTTAAAGTGGCAGAATATATTCAGTTTTTGTTCTTTTTTATTAAATGTATTGGGGTGACACTGGTTAAGAAAATTATACAGGTTTCAGGTCCACAATTCCACAACACATCATTTATATACTGTATTGTGTGTTTACCACCCCAAGTCAAGTCTCTTCCATCACCATTTATGCCTTCTATACCCTTCTCCACCTCATAATCACCACACTACTGTTCCTGTCCATGAGTTTTTTTCTCTTTCCCTTAATCCCCCTACCCCACCACCAATAACAGCTGCCAGCCTGCTCTCTATCTATGAGTCTGTGCATTTTGCTCATTAGTTCATTTTGTTCATTAGATTCCACATATGAATGAAATATGGTATTGTCTTTCTCTGACTGGTTTATTTCACTTAGCATAATGCTCTCCAGGTCCAACCATGCTGTTGCAAAGGGTAAGATTTCCTTCTTTTTACAGCCGAGTGGTATTCCATCATGTAAATATACCACAGCTTTTTTATCTACTCATGTACTGATGGACACTTGGACTGCTTCCAAATTGTGGCTATTATAAATAATGCAGTGAACATGTCATTGCAATTAATTTTTAAATTTTTGCTAGAAAGCAGTAAATAGAAAAAAACATTTCCACTTCACATGTATAAGAAATTAAGAACATAAGTACTGGTTAAGTGAACATGAGTAATATCAAAGAACCATGGGTTTGAAAGATATATTTCTATCTACTAGTGTATATATTACTTTAAGAGATGCTTTCCCACATTTCCCTGTATATAAAGTCTTCATTCTGGGTGTTTTAACTCTGAAAGTGAATACCAGTAAGGTAAGTTTCCTGCTGGCATTTTTAGGAAATTATTTGAGTCTATTATTCACATTTGAATTATTTAATCTGTTAATAATACTTTTGGGAATAAGTCACTCATTAGAAATAATTTTAGAATGAAAAAGTTCTGATAAAATGGTAGGTTATATATACCAACTTGAGAGCAAAATTATTTCCATTTTCATCTATCTTTTTAATAATAACAAACACTTCTTATGTTAATAACATTCCCAATTAAAGCGTGTTTATTATTCAGAATCATACCATAGCATTAAAGAACAGAAGAAACATATATCCATATTCTCTATAAAGATTTAATTTTGTTACATATTATGATAAAATTTATTTTAAGTAAAATTCTGCCTCCATTATTTGGGATTTTTGTTTTGATTATGATTCCTGCTGTTGCTGTTTTATTACAATGCTAAAGAATGCATATGTGTTTCATATAGTTAATTATCTTTCTTCGAAGTAAAAAATTATGAGATTTGCTTCTTTGCCAATTATATTGAATTACTCATGAAACATAGCTCCTCTGATCTACCAAATATTACACTATGGATATAAAGAGGGATTTTGCTTGGTCAGTTTTTTTCAAAAAGGAGAAGTAAATATAGTTTTTTTTTTCAAATATTTTTCACAGTAATATCAGTATACTGGTGTTTTGGTTCTTTTGTTTAATGGTACTTTGGGGCACTAAAAGTTAGGAGATATTTAGTAAATAAAGTGTTGTGGGTCATTTCATTGCTTTGCTGTGATTGGTCTCTTCAGAGGACAGCCTGGCTAGACAAGGAGACCATGAGGACTTACCGGGAGAATGGGAGGAGGAAAGCAAAGGAGATTTGGTGATTGAGCTAAGATGCTGAGGCTTGGGGACTGGGTGGGGCAGAAGGTGGGGGAGCAGATATAAGCTTTCAGTTTTCCAGAGCAGGAGGTGATTTTATAAGCTAGCTGAGTAAGATATAGTTATTTAAATAGTGTACTAGTTTAAATAATTTTATTTTTTTATAAAAGTTTTCCACCATTCCCTTGTGATGAATGAGTTTATTTTATTTTTTAAAATTTCTTTTATAAACTAAAAATATACATTTTAGACTAATTATTGGCAGCTGAAGAGAAATGAAACATACAGCATTTTTTTTTTCTTTTGTTCTCTTTTACAACCAAGTTTCAATATGTAGGAATATTTTCCTTCTAAAGCATCTATTTCCCTACTAGGCTATATATGTGCATAATGGAAAATGATAGTATTCTCCTTTGCCCCAATATTATATGTACTGTGGTACAAATTACCTTCATACATGGAGTGGAAATATTATTTTACCATAGTAGTGAATGCATAGTATATCTTGGCTTCACAGTCAGATAGATGTAAGGACTTGAAATACATTATTTTACTCCGATTTCAGAGCACCCTAAATGTCATTTCTGTGTTGGACCTTACCTTATACTGTTAGGTTTAATTATGAGCTACAAAAGGCATAAAACATCTCAAAATAGAAGTAAGATTTGCTTTCCTACCCAACTTGTTATTTCATTTCCAGTACCTGTTTTACTTCTACCTGTAATTGAAAGGTTTAAGGGCTCTCTGTGCTACATACCTGTAGACATACAGAAGTCATCCATCATAATGACAGAGACACATATCAACGAGCAGAAGCAAGTAGTTGCTATTGTATGGATTTTCTTGCATAAAACATACTTTTCTGCATTTCTAGGAGATATTTATATATTTGATCTTCATCCTAGAGAAATGAAAAGGTGGAGAAATGAGGGGTGGCCATTCTCCATCACTAGTGGAAGTGGAGTTTTTGAAATATGTTGAGAAAATGATTTTTCTAAGACTCTCATGGGAGAAGGAATGGTTTTTATTTGTGTGAAATTATATCCTTTGGTTTGTAAAGTCCCATTTCCCCTAGTCCAGTCCTGGGAAAGGAGTAGCTAGGACTTCAGCAGAGCTAGAAGCAGGGCCAGTCTCCAGAGTTTCCATTCCATGGTGGAGTTGAATCAGGGAAATGCTCCTCCAGCAACGAGAGCCAGGGGGCATGGGCAAGCAAGGGAGAGAGCCAAGGGACCGAGAGAGAACTTTGTTTAGGAGCTTATATATTTCAGATTTTGTCCACTTTCAGTGGCCATACCTATTCTGGCCAATTACCTGTTTCCAGGTGTGATTGACAGGCAACCACCTTCCTATGTCACCCAGACCTTACTGGGCATGCATCTAAATTGCAGCTTTTTGGCACAGTTTTATAAATGGCATGTCCATGTTCTCTAGTTTTTCCTTTATTCTTTTCCTGTTATTTAATAACCAGGTTATTATAATGGTATCATTTTTATGCATACAATTTGATTTCATTAATGAATTATCCTTATCCATTTTATCCCTTCTTATGAAAACTTACTATGGTTTATTATTTCTATTTTCTTCTCCTTGCCTTGCCTTATTCATTAAGAAGTGAAAAGGAAAAATTAGAAGGTTGAACAAAGAAAATATTGGTCATTAGAAGTGTTATGTAATGTTATGTGTTATTTTTTCACTAATGACAATTGATACAAAAAGGAAAAAACAATATATGAGTGTTCCACGAAGCTAACAGTGGAAGTTCATGGTGTTATTCATTTTTCCTTTTTCTTCTAGCAATGGCTCAGCAACATCTGAAGACCTTTTTTGGAAACTTGATGCACTGCAAATGTTTGTCTTTGACCTACACTGGCCAGAACAAGAATTTGCCCACCACTTAGAGCAAAGACTTAAACTAATGGCCAGTGATATGATAGAGGCCTGTGTCAAAAGGTAGACATGTATTTTCAAGTTGCTGCATAATAGACCAGCACCAAAAAAATATCACTTTTAATCTAGTATTTGTTATATAATTGTCACAAGAAATCTTTTAATATGTATCACTTTTCCAAAATTTAATAGTCATTAGGTTCTCTGACCTAAATTCTGGGGACCTATATAATTCATAAACTTGGCCTGATAGTTTTATTTGGGTCTCCTAACCATTGCCCTCATCAGTAGTACCCATACCACATTAATCATTTCTGTTGTGTTTAGTGTTCCCTCTCTGGGAATACTGTGCTTTAAATTCCCAAGGCAGTACTTCCCAAGACATATGGAAAAGGTCTGTTAAGTAGTTTATTTGTTATGTGCTGTGTCTATGTGCTGTGAAATGACATGGCAAATTCTCATTATGATCAATGCCGTCACTTTGTGTTCTCCGGTATTCTCTATCCCCATCAGATGAGTTCCAAGTATCTGTTCTCATTCTTCAAAACTTAACCAGAAATAAATTATGTGGCTTTGGATTCTTCCAAATGTACCTTCATTTTTTAATTATTCTTACAAAATCAGCATTGCTAATTAGCCAAGCACTGTTTTTTCATTGCCTATGTTCATAATACATATAAGAACAATGTGGGGTAGCACAGTAGAATAATCAGTGCTGGTTGGAGCAACTGAATGGTCCTGAATTTTTAAAGAAAAATCCAGTCAGTAGAATAGTGATGGCCTTCCAAGGCAAGGGCATGGGTTAGATTATTTAATGTTTTATTTTTTAAGAAAAGCATGTTCATCATCTCAAGATCAATTCCAAATTGCCTGCCATTCATTTTCTTTCAGAAACCTAACTGCAACTTTGGGTATTTGAAAGAGAAACTAGGTAACGTAAAAGAATTACACATTTGGTGTTGTACACTAATTATGATGTTTTAGAGTTTTCCAGACTTTTTTTTGATTTGGTAATAAGTTTTCACATGGAGGATTTGTTCTGCTTTAATGCAGAGAAGCAAGGAATTTTTCTACTTAGATATTAATTCAGGCAGTTAAGTGAAACTAGGAGGTTTTTTCCATTAAAAATGGTACACCAGATGGAGCAAATAGCTTCATTTGGGTAGAGGTATTGTCTGAGTGACTGAAAAGCTATGTTTAATATAAAGTATCACAGCCAGATCTTCCATATGAGACACCTGAAAAGAGGAGCATCCCACCCCCAGCTCCCAAGCACCCTCCTTATTTGCATGTTTTAAATTAGCATCTTGAAGTGTTAATTTCACTTTTTTACAAAACTGGTGGGGTGTATGTCAGATTTCTTACTCTGAATTCATGTTTTAATGACTAGAACAAGAACTGCATTTGAACTCAAGCTGCAAAAGGCAAACAAAACCACTGACTTGCGCATTCCAGCTTCTGTGTGTACCATGTTTAATGTGTTAGTTGATGCCAAAAAGCAAAGCACCAAACTCTGTGCTCTGGATGGAGGACAAGAGGTAAGTGAATTGAGTGTCACATAAGGAAATTCGGCATGGGTGCCCTGGCAAAGGACAGTGCTGTTTGATTAGATTAAAAACGAACAACTTCTCCAATACAAGTGTTTGGTCTTTTCTTCACTATATTATGGAATGCCCTTTACCCTTTGCTTCTGTTAGTTTCTTCTTTTTTATGTGAAGACTGCCTAAAATTTTACAAGTGGTCATTGAATTTCAGATATACCTTTTAACAGCTTCTGGTGTCGTGTATTTACATAAAGCTTGCTTTTCACAACCAAATGAGAAATCTACCTGCCGTATTTATACAAATCTACCTTATCCAGAGTTTGCATCCAAAAACCAAGCCACGGAAAACAGCACAAGAAATATTTTATTTACACAAAAGTTTCTGTTTCTTAAGACCAAGTTGATATATACTTGAAAATTAGACTTTATTCTTTTCAATAAACATCCCATTGTTTTAATTCATATATATTTTCTTTGTGTATACATTCAGAAATAGATTGTTTTACTCCATGATTTATTTTTGTTGAGAGTGGTGATTGGGTGAAAATTGATCTATTTTTCTTGGATTATCTGTTTAAGTTGACATTTTGTTGCCGTTTTTCCCATTGTAATTACTTTTTCATCATTTCTTTACTCTTCCCTATGTTCTCCATCGTCTTTTTTTCCCCATGACATGATCCAGTTTGGTAGTCAATGGGTAAGTCTCATTTTTTTAACCACATTCTCATTTGAATTATTATTTTCATAAATGTACATTTTTATTTTCATATTTTCAAATTAAAATAATTAATTCCACTCTCAGGTTTTGGTTTCTGTGTGTGAGTAAAATCCTAACAGCTTCCTAAGATATAGCCATAGCCTAAAGACACATGAAAACATATGTAAATACTAATACCTTAAGTAATGTCAAGGGAATGTTTCTTTCCTGTTAGACTGCAGAATCTACAAATTACTGTTAGATGTTTAAAGGTAAAATTATGTAAAACCAAATAAATTCACTCTCCTTTAAACTAAGTTCTAAGTAAATTCAGAAGCAGAAAGACTATTAACATTTTCAAAATATATTTGTCTTCTATATTCTTTAATACTAGAAAAATTTAGAGTGTGGGGCTTTAAATGACATATAGCATTAGCAGGGTAATCCCTAAATTTGAGGATCAGGAAACCACTCTCAAGTCACTTCAGACAGAAGAACCTCATTATGGATTTCAGTAGGGTACAAGACCACCAGTGATACAGTCTTTCCCCCCACTCGTAGCCTGGGATGTAACCATCAGTCGGGGAAGAAAGAGGCGGGCCTATGTCAGGAGCCTTTCCCCTCCCCCACACAAGGTTTCCTCGAGGTACCACACAGAACCTCAGAGGAACATGGTTTGAAAACCTTTATGTATACAGTATATATTTATAAGTCTAAATGTTTTTGTGCTGTATGGATATATTAAATCTTACAAGTCTTACCATTGACACCTGGGAGTCAAACTCGACTCTTTACTGAGCTAACAATTCTCCCCTAAGTAGAAGGGCTTAGATAACTGAAAGAGGATGAGAAGGCGCACTATTTGTGAATTTCATACTTATTTAATCCAGATATAGACATTAGCTATTTGGCCATAATTTATATATATATTCACATATTTCATTCTTTGGGCAATTCAAAGCAAAGATGTGTTCCCAATATCAGAGTATATGATCTTATGATATTAAGTAACTGATATGTAAGAGTTATAGAGTGTTCAGGAATTATTCTTTGATCATTTACCACATGACTTATTATTTTTAATTATCTGAATAAGAAGGCAGCTGGTTTGGATATCAGTGGCTCATCTTTACCTCCTTATGTTTTTCAATACCCAGATGTAAGTCTTTGATTGTCTATTTGAAAATATTGTCTTAAGTCTCTTTATAATAAGCCCATCCAGTTCTCATCAGATTTATTGAATCATCTTGCCTCTCCCCACTAATACTGAATTTATCCATTTTTTTCTTAGTTTATCATACACTATAGTACCTGACATCCAATGGGCACTTAGTAAATATTTGTGGAATGAACACACTGATTTGTTGTCACTGCTTTAAAAATCCTCCCCATCAGAAGCAACTCTAGTACTTAAAAAGAAAAACAGGCACATACTCAAATGACAAAACATTGGTGCATTGTCAAATGATTCTTTACATTATTAATAGGTGAATGGTTTTTGAAGAATAATCTGCTACTGTTCATTATGTCTGCACCTGTATCTTCTCACCAGAGACAATTAATTCCCTACAACTTTCACACAATTAATATAGTTCAAAATGTGCAGGTGTAAAACCCATTAGCAACCCTGAAAAGTGGTAAACAATAATTTTGATGCAAAAGAAGGATTTTATACTTTGCTTTCAATCTCCAGTAAATATACCCACATAATTACACAAGCTTTCCTGCTTTGTATGTGCTTGAGCTAAGTTATGGAATTGTTGCAAATTAGTAAATACATTACATGCTTAGGTGAGCCAGTGGGCCCCGTTCTGTAGTAAGCTACAAATAAACTTGTTGAAAGTACTAACTCATTACACAGTTTGGAACCTTGTAAAAAATATATATATATTTTTAATAGGTAAACCTAGCAGAGATATCTTCTAAATTATAAGGGGATTACCTCTGCACAATCTCCAATAAATTATTATATTGTCATTGTCAAGGGATAAGACCTTCCCGACTCCTTACCCACAAGGCAAACAAGGCAGCCCCTTCTGTACTCCTGAGTTATGAATCTGTTTTCTTATGTGGCACATGATGATGCAAACATGCTCAGCCACAGTCCAGAGAACTGTTTAATAGAGTGATTAGTGAGTGAATAATCTGCTCATGTGACAGGTGTGTGTAATGAGTCAGCAATCTCAGGCCAGTCCCTCAGGGACAGATAATTGAGATCACAGAACCACCAGTGTTTAGAAATCCTTATTATCCATCCTTCCAGAAACACAGATGACTGCATGGGCCTTAGGCAGTCATCTACTCTCAGAACCACTGCATCCCAAGCCCATCCATTGAGGATAAAAATACACTAATGAGGCCACTAGGAGGAAGGAGTCAGGGGGCTACTTATAGGGGATTTGTTCTCAATTACAGTAAAATACTCTGTTTCCAGAACTAGCAATCCAATACATTTAAAATTCATCCCAAGAGAAGAATAAAAATCTTTTAAGAATGCTGGATTACACTGCATTTGATTAGTCTTCATTTCTTGTGTGTTTACATGAGAACAGCCTGGTGAAATGGTGATATTTACCAGAGTGTCAAGTGATGGAAGGCCAGGGTTTCAGACCTATGCCTGATCTCTGAATTTCCTGGGCTCCATGAAGTAAGACTTTTCCTCAAGGGTTGTTTTTAATCAAGTTTAGAAGTATCCACTGGAACATCAAGGCACCAACAGCTTATTTTTTGAGGGCCGATGTGGGGAGAATTAGTCTAAGAATGGTCTAGAACCTACCATAGCCCTAGGCTGTAGGATTATTGGTTGAACTTGAAATATTCTAAGAACTTTATAATTTTCTTATTGTTGCAGACAAAAAATTGTCAGAATTTTATCAAAAATTTGGTCTGTTTATCTAAATGAAAAATCTATCAGTTTTAGCTTAATTAGCATACATGTATCTGCAGATAACTTCTGTTCTTATCTATTTGTGATCTCTTTTCGTGTGTTCGTGTTCATCTGCATCCCCTGATGAATAACTTTTTCTAGCTAACTTTTAGTTATTCATATGTGACGTTTGTGGATTATTCTCTTTGCCGAATATATAGGTAAAATATGAACTTTGAGGCCACCTCCCCATTCCTACCCATAATCCTCCTAGATCACCTGGACCAATTGCGCAACCAGAGCAGATTCTGGAAATTCACATTTAATATCAGTGTCTGTCAGAGCTCATCGATAAATTTACAATAGCAAAATATTACATTATACAAACCTAACAAACTGTATCCTGCTTGGGTTTGCCCTGTGAAGCACATTTAAGATGTACTTTGTCAACATAAGAAACATTCAGACCTGTGAAGAATTTTGTGAGTTTATTTGAACTAAAACTATGGACAGTTGCCAGGAACCAAAACCTCGAAGGATTGAGATATTGTGCAGAAGGGCAGTTTTATACCTTTTTAAAAATACATTACAAGCAGAAGAGGAGATGTAAGTAAGTTACATGAAGTCCATTGGTGATAGATTGGGGAGGTGGCAGAAAGCAAGGGAAGGGGGAAACCTTTGGGATTAGATAAAAAATAAAATGATAGATACATGTTTCTTTAACTGGGTGTATACAGGATAGTTAACAGTCAGCAATTAACATAATAATAACAATGAGGGAGTTGTGGTCTCTGCCCTGATGCATTAGTTGTGCCCTGAGGTGTGTGGAAAAGGAGCATCACCCTGACATTCCAAAGCTATAGATGCAAAAAGAGAATAGGCTCAATTAAGGTCAAAGTTGACCGTTGTCAGGGGAGATACAGACCTAGGACAGGACTACCTGCCATAAACTGCTTTTACTTTAAAAGTTTTTATTTCAGGCCATAATGTATGGTTACTTTTAGGTCTGGAGTTTGCAAGGCCTCCACCCAGGCCTTTACTGAGCTTTTCAGGTTAGCACGTGGCCCCTTTTTATCCACGACTTTCCTTCCTTTCTTTTTAAGTTTCTCTTTCTCTCCCTCTGCCGCTCTCCCCTCTCCCTTTCTCTTTTGGCTAGGTCAGGTACAAAACAACAGTCTAAAGTGTGTACTGTAGAATTTCATGGCTTCCAGGGTCTGCAGCTTTGCCTGCCTTTCAATACCAAGGGGCCTCTCTTTTGTGGCTCATTTCTTGATTTTAAGAATTGCCGAAATCAGTCCTACCTAAAGGTTTAACATGTAGAAGCTCTATTCTTGTCTATCCAACAGCCTTCTAATGACATTTGATTACTTATGAGTTAAGAAAAAGAATGAAACTTATTATAAATAGACATAAGAAATGAGGATAGGCAAAGCTAAGATTGTGGCACTGTCTGGAGATCTGGGTGCCTCCGTCCCTCTCTGTTCCATAGCACTTTCCGTGTGAGAGGGAAGGGAGGAGCTGGGAGCCCGGCTGCTGTCTCACTCTCCTATTCTACCCCCAAGGGAGCCTCTGCCTGGTGTTTCCTTTCCCACTGCTACAGACACACAAATTTGGAGGGAGAAGGGTGTGCAGAGAAAATGGCAGAGAAAGAGAGCTGGGACATAGCTCATTTGCATAAACTCCGTCACTGCCCAGTTTGCTGAGGGGCTTCAGTTGAGGGGGAGGCTTTTTTGTACCTGTGTTTGTAGGGGATTTCTGGCCTTTTCACTGACCATCCAGCTTTTTCAGGCTCTTTCTCCTCTACCTTTTCTTTTCTTTATGTTCTCCTTTTACTTCTCTCCAAGTTGTTCTAAATTCAAAAGTGTCAGTGTAATGCAATAGAAAGCCGCCCTTAATGTTTCTGTTGCATTTGTCCTCTGGGGAGCACACTCTTGGGGATCAGTAAGGCCTTAAGTGAGATAGACACTTAGTACTTCACTTTACCTGGTAAAATACATGCCCAGGAAATTCCACATTTATATATGTCTGTTCACTTTAGACCACTTGCCAATACATACACAGGGGCAGAGAAAGAAAATCATTCACATGCTCCAAATTATGCTTCTTTCTTTATTACTTATGCAGGTAGATGACCACTTGTGACTGTCAGAGTCTATGGGGAGGAATCACTTTTGTAGTATCCAAAGCAGATCTCAGTTGATTATTTGTTCTGTATGGAAACTTTGAGACATGTTTGCAGAAGAAAAAAAATAGCTTTCAAAAACTTACATCCTAGGAAACCATTTAACCAGCAGCTGTTAAGTTGGTCTAATGTTTATACTGACCTGAGTACTTTTACCGTATGCATTATGTTAGCTATTCCAAGAAGCCTTGAACCAACAAGATAGGGTTAGTCTTTACAAGTCACATTTTCTGTGAAGTGGCTATTGGGCACAATCAGCTGTCAGATAAATGCTTCTAAAGGAAGAATTACTGTTTAAATGAATGTGCCTTCACATGGTACCATAGAAGCTGAAGCTCCTGCTAATTTAAGAATGGAACTCACTAAAGAAAGCAAAAAAAAGAGTCTTTCAGGTTTATTTTAAATACATCTTTTTTTTTTTTTTTTTTTTTGCATTTACTTAAAGGCTCTTTTTTCGTGAGGAAGCAATAATAAAACGAGGAGTGTTGTTTCATTATACTTTTTATGGCCTATTAATTTGTTACCATCTATTCACCTTGTTGATGAAATTTTAATTTTGCCCTTGCTTGAGTATATTGTAAGAATTGTATAAACTGCTGCTCCCTGAACTGACAAAAACGTCCTTTTAGAATGAACAATTGGGAGATCATTTTATTTCTAGAGCACATTTAAAATAACTTATAAATGAGAGTTGTCAGACATGAAATGCTGTATTAATTAAATCTTTTTCTAGTCTTTTTGCTTCTCCAGCTAAACCAACCCTTTAGAAAAATACATGGCCACCTTAATTATAGAGGAGAAGACAAAAAGTATCCTTCACATTTCTCCGCCTGAATAAGAATAAGAATTCAATTCATCTATATAATAACCCCATTAGCTGCTTAACTCAACAGTGCACATGGGAAAATTTTCAAACAACAATGTAAAAAGTGTTGATTGGGTAGATCATTTTCAAGATTTTGTTCTTCTAATGTTCAAAATGATCATTTTAAGTAAATCTGATATGTCATAACTAGTAGCTTTGAAGTTTTGTGTCCACAAAAACTAATGCATCTTTATTTTTAATATCTAGCAACAGTACCATTCAAAAATAGATGATTTGATTGACAACACTGTGAAAGAAATAATTTCACTGCTAGTTTCAAAGGTAATGTATTATTTGTTCACCTTTCTAAATCAATTTTTACAATTATTTTCTATTTCTGAGAATTTTTACAAATACTTGTCTTATGTTTCTGAATACCTCATTGAGAAATAATAATTTAAAAAACTGATGCAAGAAAAGTTCAAATTTTAAGAAAGGTACAAGCAAAATGTGAACACTGCTCAACAACTTGTGATGTTTTGTTTATAATTAATTGTGGCTTTACCTGAAATTGTTATTCTTTTGAAAACAACTCTCTCTTCTAGTAATATTTTATCATTTCACATTCGTGTTCTCATACTGTTTGTCTTATGTCCACAGCTGATTTGAGTAGCTATCAGTCCTTGAGTATAGACTGTTTGTTGTATATTCCTTGGGTTCCATCTTCAGTTTTCTTTTAAACTCATTCCACAAATTTCTGTGACTTTCACACTTTTGGCTTAACTATATGCTGAGGATTTCCAGTTCTGTCCCTGAAAGAAAGTGTGGAATTACGGTTAAAAGCCCAACTAGCAAGTAGAAGTCACTGAAGGATTAGAGAGGCAGAGACTTAATCATATTTGCATTAGAAGAGGATTTATTTGATTGCCTGAAGCAAACAACTAAAGAGGGAGTAATAAGGCAGTTGCATTGGACTCTGGTGGGCTAATCCAAAAAAATTTAAGATATACAGTGGACAGGGATGCTATAGACAGGGTGTTTGTGCCCCCCCACCCCACGTTTATATGTTGAAACCTAATAATCTCCAATGTAATGGTATTAAGAGATGGAAACTTTGGGAGGTGATTAGGTCATGAGGTTGGAGACCACATGCACGGGATTAGTGTCCTTGTAGAATACACCCCTTAGAGCTCCCTAGCCCCTTCTGCCAGGGGAAAAAAACAGCCAAAACCATCATTAGGAACCAGGAGGTGGGTCCTCACCAGACACCAAAGCTGCCAGCACCTTCATTATGGAATTCCCAGCCTCTAGACTGTGAGAAATAAATGTTTGTTGTTTATAAGCCACCCAGTTTATGGTACAGTCAGCCCTCGTTTATCGCGGTTAATCAATTCCAGACTCTACCGCAATCAATGAATTTCCGTGCGGTGGAATTCTTTGTTCTCTATTGTGGATTCTTCAAGTAGAGTACAGTACTGGGGAAAACGTGATGGAGAGAAGCCGAGGAAGTCCAAGCGCGAAGTGGAGAGGGATGACTGTATTCGGTTATGGCAACACAAACAGACTGAGACGGGTTGGCAGTGAGGAGAGCAAGGAAAACACTAAAGATTACTCCTCAGTTTATGGCTTACACACGGGATGGATGTTGATGCCATTCCCTGATGCACAGTGCCCTGGGAGAGGAGCAGATTTTAAGGGACAGAGCATGTCAGTATTGGACATGTTGAGATAAGCTGCCTCTGAGATATCTGACATTCAGATATTTGGGTCTGGAGTTCAGAGAAGGTATGTGGGATCAAAATAGCAGTGTGATTGTAAAATTTCCACCATTGGACATGATTCTTTATCAGTTGCTGCTATTCTCGTAAATAGTCCATAACTGGAACCCCCATGGAAGAAGTAAATAAAATAAATGGAAGAAATGAAAATCCACCTTAAAGAAAGAGAAAAACACCCAAAGCTGCCTCTTAGTCAGAAAAGAACTTAGATAAATTTTACCAAAGAAAGGATACAGGAAATGGCAGGCTTTTTGCCACCTTATATTAAAATTAATTAAATTCGACAATGTGTGGGTAGTCAGCAGAGCTGGACTCTGCCTAGTTCTTCATGTTACCAACTGGGTCTCTGTGAACAGCTCCGTTTCCCCATCAAAAGCGTAGGAGGAAATAAAAAAAAGATCTGTAGCTTATTCACAGTCTAAAGCAAAGATCCTTGCACATGTTTCTGTGTGGAGGCTTCCGGACCCACGTCCTTTCTCCCCAGACTGCACGCTCGAAGCACACAGCGCTGATGTTGGAACCATGAGTCATCTAGCAGGGATTTTCAAATATTTTTATAATGGTTGTACGATGTATCGTTACATACTTTTATGATTATAAGCTACATTTAGTATTTTCAAATATATCTTAGGTAGCACCCTTAAATACAACACTGATCGAAGCAGAGCTGTTCTGATTGAGGGGAGAAAGGGATCTAGAGCCCTTCCTGTGTGGCCTCATCTCCCAAGACAAGCCTGGTCATTAGCGTCCACCGCAGGGTCCAGTCCCCTTGTTCACAGATGAAGAAACAAGGTTGTATGGTAGATAGCCACAGAGACAGGACTTGACATTTGGTGGCCCTAAGCCTGTAATCTTTCCATGATACCACACAGAACTCAGCAAAACCAGAGAGGAAAAGATGGGGCTTCACTTCCCAGTTATTTTTATGCCCCCCTTATATCTGCGTTGTACTGACAAGCCTGTGTATCCCTCCTTTGATATTTGTTACACACAGGCTCTGGGCCCAGCCTGAGCGGTAATCAGGTGGGGCAGCTGTGAGTCAGGGAGATGAGAGTAGATTCATCATGTGTACCGTGAGGACGCTGAACGGAAACTGGGAAGCTGTGTGAGAGAACTGGTCGAGGGCAGTGGTCGAAGAGCAAAGTGAGAAAATGACTACTCTCATAATACACTCCAGTCACAGGGGCTCAATAAACTTTGGACATGAACTTAAGAATCATAGCAATATATTCAACTTCCTAACTCATCAATTATTGCAAAAAAGGAATTTAACAAAGAATATATATACATTGTGACTAAGTACACATAGATATTGGTATATAGTTTTATATATATACATATATACATACACACACACCCACATATGTATATATATACATACACACCCATATTTTTTTCTGATAAACTAGAATATTTCCCCCTGAATTTCTCTTAAGAATAAGATGGAGAGAGGACAAATCTAACCTAACTGCCTAGATGATGTAATTAAAAATCTTTCCAGCTCAACCTGGTGAGATTAATTTAATTAAATTTATTTTTTGGATCAAGTCCATATACTCATAAGACAACTATTCAACTCCAAGTATGTGCTTAGATGTAATAACACACTATTAGGAGCCATTAGGAAAGAGGAAATACAAAATAAGGTAAGCCACTCTATTTGTGGGGCAAGGAGAAAGGGACAATGAGAGAAGTGTGGAGAATTCACCACATCTGGACTAGGTATGAGATTTTGAAAGTTGATTTAGGTACTTTTCAGAACAAGTTATGTTGTGCGTAAATCCCTGCTGTCCGATACTATCCATTGCATCATAACATGATATTTCCATTCATGGCAGGAAACCTGTTTTCTTTCAGTCCATGGTATTCTGGTTCCATGTGGATTTTTAACAATACTAGTTAGTTCTGATGTTACCAAAGGAATATAAAACACCTGCTTACAGATATTTCTAGCCCCACTAAAAGCAAAACACAAAAAAAGAGATCAGTTTTCTTTACGGATGATTTGTTTTTTCTGTGGAAGATTTTATAACTTGAAACATAAATGATGCAGATATCCCTTGTTTACTTTATGAAATGCAGCTAAAAAAGCCAGAACTCTGTGTGTTTTGAACCATTAAGCTATAGGTGAAATTCTCCCTGTCACTTCTTAGACTTTGTTTCTACTTTCCATACATGTAGAAAAATTAATTTTGTAACATGTTAAAATTGAACAGAAAATTTAAATCAGAGTGCCTGTGGCATACAATGTTTCATTCTGGCAGTCATTTCAAAGTCCTTTCATCTTTAATTTCCTTGAGAGTATGCACGGTGAGGCAAAGTTGGTAATTACTCAGATGAGTTTAGGTGTTAAATATTATTCAAACAAACCCAGTAAATGGCATCCACAATAAAGAGCAAGGAAAGAAGATTACAGTGTTTCATTCCAACCAGACACCCTCAGGAGAACAGTGCACAAGGCAGACCCAGGAGTATTTATGTACTCCCTGAGCTGTACAGAGAAAGTTCACAGGAAGCCGTTAAAGACACAGCAACGAAACCCTGCATTTAACTGGATTTCTTTGGAATCTTGCTGCTTTGTGCAATTAAAATCCAGATGGAAAATATATCATTATTATTCAATCTGATGTTAATAGAGTTTAGTTTTTAAGGTTGCTCTTCTGCCACGTGTATCTAAACGAAAATCTTACAAAAAATAACTTTCCTGTAGGATCTTCATGGCTCACCTCGTTGATCCCAGAGGTACAGTCACTGTTCACTGCCATGTAAGGCCTCAGAGTCCCTGCTATTTCATGCCTCCCCAGGGATCTTTTGGGGTAGGGAGGAACAGGCTACTATTGTTCAAATAGAAGCAAAGAATGCTGTAAGGTGAACCCAGCAAACCACGGGTCCATGAGTAGGACTTACTCAGGTATAACCCAACAGTGCTTCATATTCTGAAGCGAAAATGAGCCAGACAGGCTGCCAGGCTGGCAAGTGGAGAAACCTAAATTCATGTGCTACTGAGCTTCCTCAAGTGTCATTTTATCCACTTTTTTCTGCTACCCTCTGGCTTAGCTCCTGTAACACCCTGTAAGTGAAGCTTACCCGGTGTCCTCCAGTCAAAGTCGTCCTTTCCTTCTAGTTTCAGTTACACTGTTTGCCCATTTACACTGGCCCTTAAAACTTTCAGCCTTGTGTCATGAACAACTGTATACATGTCTGTCTCTGCTAATAGTTTGTATGTTCCTGGAGGGAGGGGTCTAAGACTCATACATTTTTTATTTCTCATATAAAGTGCTCAATAAAAGTAATTACAACAAAGTGACATTTACTGGGCACTTATTATATTCTGGACACATTACTTATATCATCTCATTTAATGCTTACAACTCTGTAGTATGATGGTAAAGAAAATAGGCTTTGGAGCCAAACCACCGGAGTTCAAAACCTTGCTCCTCCACCATCAGCCAAATGCCCAAATGCCCTTGAAATGGATGGGATTCCAATGCGGGTCTTCCGACTTACAGCCTCAACTCTCTTCTTTCTTCATAGATATCATTTAATCGAATTGGACTCATTCACTGATAACCAAACTCATTATTACTCCTTATCACCAAATAATCTTAAGGCTTTCCCCATTAACTGGTGACTTAACATATCTAGGTTTTTAGACATATAATGGATAGTGTTTTAGCTAATCATATCAATTATACTACTTCTTGTCCTGGCCGGTTTGGCTCAGAGGTTAGAGTATCGGCCTGCGGTCTAGAGAGACCCGGGTTCGGTTCCCGCTAAGGGCATTTACCTCTGTTGCAGTTTGTCCCCGGCCCTGGTTGGGTCATGCGGGTGGCAACCACTCGATGTGTCCCTTTCATGTCGATGTTTCTCTTTCTCTCTCTCCCCCCCTCTCCCTCTCTCTCTCTCTCTCTCTCTCTCTCTCTCCCCCCCCTCCCTCCCTCCTTCCCTCCCACCTCCTCCCTCCCACTCTGTCTCAATGAAAAAATGTCCTCGGGTGAGGATTAAAAAAATAATAACAATAATACTTCTTTACATTTCTTTAGTATTTTGCCACTAGTCCTTTCACATAAATCATCTCTACTAATCTTAACACCATTCCTGTAACAGGCAGGACAGCTGTTATTTTTCCATTTTACTGAGAAATACACAGAAGCTAAATGTCTATGCTGTTATCTTATAGCCAGAGGGTGGCAGAGCTTCAAGTTGAATCCAGATCTTCTAAATCCAGCCACAGGGTTCTTGCCCCTGCCTTGACTCAGATTCACTTACACGTGTAAACATATACTCACTTGAAAGCACCAAGAACCAGGTGCTATGCCAGAGCCTTCAACGGTTCAGGTTGTCTGGTAACCATAGCAATTGTCGCTCTCCTTGTGGCAACTGAGATCACCCAGCACACACTGGCTCTTAAGATTTGAGTTGTAAGAGATGAGGCATTTTCCACAGAGAGCCATTAAGTTTGGAATTCCCTTCCCCTGGTCTGACATAGCCCTGGAGTATTGGTCTTCTGGGTCTTTGCAAACCACATCAAGTTGAGTTAGCCAGCTGTGATTGGTAAGAAATCCTAATGGGCAGGAAGAAAGTGCTAAATTGACTTTTAGTTGTGAGCAATTTATAATTTTGTGTTTTTTGCTGTTTGTTTCCCTTAGGATAACTAACCAGCTATGCATAATTCTCATTCTTTAAAAATAACATTTTAGTCGGCAGTTTGCCTGACTTTGTTTCTGTATTCTTACATCATGTAGCAAATGATGTGATGGAGAAACCTATAGGGAAGTTTTTGTTTCTTTTATATAAACTATTTTGCAGTAATTGACCAGCTATAAAGAAGATTATCTCCTGTGCACTCTCAGTGAGTTCTCTAGTCACCAGAGACCAATAAGCTGTGTCCCTAGAACTATTATCACTTTGTTGAAGAAGCTGTTATGTGAACAAAAACCAGCCTTCGTTAATTTTCCTTTTCGCATTTAAAAAACCTTGTCAGGCTCAGCGGTTAGAGCGTCGGCCTGGGGTCCCTAGAGACCCAGGTTCGGTTCCCGCTAAGGGCACATACCTCGGTTGCAGTTTGTTCCCGGCCCTAGTTGGGTCGTGTGGGTGGCAACCACTCGATGTGTCCCTTTCACCTCGATGTTTCTCTCTCTCTCTCCCTTCCACTCTATCTGAACAAAAAATGGAAAAATGTCCTTGGGTGAGGATTAAAAAAACAAAAACAAAAAACCTTGTCAGTATTTTCCCTTTGGGAATGTATAATTTGTCAATAGTGCATATTATTTTGGTTCTAAAGAGGAAAGATGCAGGGCAGTAGATCCTAATTTATATCTCCTATTTATCTTCATGACAGATCTTAACATTTACACTCAATGAAATAAAATTCTCCACATTTTAATTGTTACAGAATACGTCTCAACTTTCATTTCATAGAAATATAGAATTTTAGAAATGTAATGCATTTTTGAAACTAATTTTAATTTTATATGCCCCCAATACATACACAAATAGATGCATGCTTGCGCACGCGTGCGTGCGCGCGCGCGCGCGCACACACACACACACACACACACACACACAGTTTACCTGATGGAGACAGTGATTGGTGCAGTGATTGGCCTGAGCTCGTGGAGTAATCAGTAACAGAATCAGGACATATATTGTCAGTCTGATGCTCTTTCTGTTCTTCCCTGTAGTATGTATATCTGCATTAGCTCCCAAACTTCTTTGTAAGCTTTCGAAATCAGGGATGATCCTTATATATCCAATTACATATGTAAGGTAAATGCTTATTGAATAATGTCAGACTTCATTTTAGTGTTTAAAGAGCCCCAAATGTTACACATCATTATCTGTTCTATATTATTCAACCTCATCTGTAGGTAGAAAAAGTTAGGAAATGGCCGAGTGATATATGTAAAAGGAATTTCATTACTTCTAACTTCTGTGTTTTTTATTGACATATAATTGACTTATAATATTATGTTAGTTTTAGGTATACAAACATAATGATTTGATATTTGTATATATTGCAAAATGATCACAATAAGTCTAGTTAACATCCATTCTCATACACAGTTATAATTTTTTATTGTGATGAGAACTTCTACATGTCTATATTGACATTGCAAATTGTTATAAAAGATTAGTCTCAGGAATTTAAAGTTATTTCCTAGTGGTTTAAGTTAGCTCACATATAATGACCAAACTCCTACTACATATTATTCTTCTGTCTTTAAAAGTGTCTGTGTTATTTCTAGCAATTGGAAAGGACCTTAGAATTCATCTTCAAAATGAAAGAGGAAACATTACAAGTTAGCCCCTCAGCTGTCAGTTTATACATCACGGATTTCTGAGCCAGGCAGAAGCTGGCCCAGGAATTATTTGCCCTGTCACTAGTTTGTATGCACAGCAATTTTCTAAATACTCACCATAAACTGTTTATAGTTTGTTTCAGTGTTGGAAGGGGTGCTGTCTAAGCTGTCAAGATATGATGAAGGCACCTTCTTTTCATCCATTCTGTCATTCACTGTAAGTATTTGATTGAGTTCTTTTCTGCTGTCTTTTGGCTCTTGTCATAGTACTTATTAACAGTTAAGAAAATAATTCTCATAATTATCTCTTTTCCACTTAAGGTGAAAGCAGCTGCAAAATATGTTGATGTTCCAGTAAGTATTTTTTATTTGCTTTCTAGAACGAGGTATAATTCTTTTTTTTTTTTTTAATAATTATGGTTCTCTATGGGTTTATTTCAAATCTTTAAACCAGTGCCATTCCCCCAGGGAGCAGTTTATTTTTCGTAAGGGCTAACCCTTATGACAAGGCTTGGCAGGGTTTTTCTGTACTTTTTCTGCTGTAACTTGGGAATGCGTATGGAGGTGAGTTCATCATGAGAAAATGCCAGCCCAGTGGCAGAGGGTAGCTATATCATATTGGGGTAGGGTAAAAATGCCTCACACTACTTATAAAAAAGCATTTTTTTTTTCATTCCCCCCCCCTTTTTTTTTAATAATCCTCACCTGAGGATATTTTTCCATTTATCTTCAGATAGAGTGGGAGGGGGTGAAGAGAGAGAGAGAGAGAAACATTGATGTGAGAGAAACACATCAATTGGTTGCCTCCTGCATGACCCTGACCAGGGCCAGGGACTGAACCACAACTGAGGTACGTGCCTATGAGTGGAATTGAACCCATGACTCCTTGGTCCTTGGGCCGACGCTCTAACCGCTGAGCCAAACCAGCCAGGGCTAGTGCAGCATTTTTAAGTTGATAATCATAACAAAATTAGTTTTCACCTTAAATCCTGTTATCACATATATGATTAAGGCGTAAAATATTTTTTGCAATCATGTATCTTGGCCTATATACCAATTTTCAAAGAATTAGAGTACAGATGAAAAACAGAAACAAAAACTTGACTTTAAAAATAGATGGAATATAAGGAATCCCTTCTCTGTGTAAGACTGCTGGAGCCGCACCACGTCGACGGGTCATCATAGCATCAGTGGTTTGAGTACTGGCAAGCTTCAAGCATCAGCATTTTATACTCCAAGCCAGATAGTCCTGAGTTCTTGCTACTGTAGCTATTATAGATGGACTGTTTAAATTAACGGGCCATCAACTTTATTGCCTTTGCATGGGGTTTCTTTGGAACAGGGATTTTTATTTTATGAATGATTCCCAAAGAAGTCTTGGCATACTCTTTGTCTTGTACTAAGAATCAGAAATCACTTTTGGGCAAATAAGCAGAAAAATCACGTGTAGGGGTCTGCAAAGCAGAAGCACAAAAGAGAGAGGAGGAGAATTAAGGGAACAGTTAATATTTATCTTAAAAAGAAAGAGACGCCTAATCACAGGAACACATGAACTTCATTGGAATTCCTAACACATTTTATAATATAGTTTTGGTTTTATTTTGAATTACAAATGAAATGGGAAACCATAACTATAATTATTCCTGTCCTTAGAGCTTTGAAAGTTCTTTTTCTCTTTTTATGTGCATTTATTTTTTTAATTTTTAAAAATTTATCTTTACTGTTGAAAGTATTACAGATGTCTCCTTTTTACCTCGTTGACCCCCATTCATCCCATTCCTGGCCCCCCAGGCCTTTACCACACTATTGTCTGTGTCCATGGGTTATGCATATATGCATATAAATTCTTTGGTTAATCTTTCCCTGCCACAGCGATCCCCTTCCCTCTGAGAATTGTTTATTTGACCCCGTACTAGATCTGTTAGACCCAAAAATAACTTCAGAGTTGAAAGATACAAAAAGTGGTTCATTCACCCTCCCTTCTCAATGCAGAAACCTCCTCCCCTAATATCCCTCACAAGCATTCACAGAGGCTTTTAGATATTTTTGAAGCGATTGCAGACTCACCATAAGGCAGCCAACTCTTACATATAATACGTTGAGATTCTGTAGCTTCATGAATTCGGCCTTGGTTCCATCCCTCTTCTAATGACAGCCCTTCAAATATTTGGTGATAATTATTATGTCTCCTCTTCCCAAAAGATATTCAAAGGGATATATTGCCTGAGGAACTCTTATTTTCTTTACAAACCATCCTCAATTTCTTCATTGAACTCACTAATTAAATACTTGTTGAACATGAACTGAGTGGTAGACCCTGGGTATACATGATGAAAATATATATTTCTTGCCCACAAGCTGTTCAGTGTGAGGGATGGATAGAAGAGATAGAGAAATAGATACGGCATGAAAACAGCTTTAGCAACTGTACCCTTTATCATGGCAGCCACTCTCTAGATGAATTCCAGTTTGCCAAGGTCACTATTAAATCAAATTGGCCACCTCCCCCACCCCAGCAGAGCTTACTAAACCATAGATGTGGTCTGGCTATGGCAGATTACTAAGAAAAGAGTTTCTCCCCTTAATCTGGACATTACACCTTAATTACTGATGCTTCTCGCTATTAACTTCAAAAGCTATGAAATGCTGTTGACCGTTGATGTTTTTTGTGCTAAAACTCCAAAAACTGTTCCTCTCTAAAGTAGTCTGTTAAGGAGACTTATGATAATGAAAAAAAAGAGCGCTGGCTCATCTTTCACAAAAATTAATTCAAAACTAATAAAAAACCAAACTATAAAACTTCTAGAAGGAAAGATAAGAGAAATATATGTGGCCTTGGATTTGGTGATGATTTTCTTAGATATAACACCAAAAACATCCATGAAAGAAAAAAATCATAAGTTGGACTTAATAGTTGACTGCTCTGCCCTGTTAAGAAATGAAAAGACCAGCCACCGACACATATTTGATAAAGGGCTTATATCTAAAATGTACAAAGAACTCTTAATACTCAACAATAAGAAAGCAAGCAGTGGGACTATTCTGTGTGAATCTGTAATGGAAGATACATGGCACTATATGTTTGTCAAAACCTACCTTTACAGCACAAAGATTAAATCACAATATAGACACATTTTAAAAATCAATTAGGATATCATGGGATCCCAGGATGGGAAGGAGACTGTGGTAAAATAATCTAACTCTATTGCAAATGTGTTGAATAATGTCACCGATAAAGATGGTGGAAAAAGTGCTGATGTGAGTAACTGGAAATGAGTGGGGTCTGTAAAAATGAAGAGAAAAGGAATTGTGCCTAAGTACTATACTCAGTTGATAAAGTGTTTTCCCACAGGTTAACAATTCAGAAACCACTATATATGTACACTGGATCTGAACAATTAAGTAAAGGGATGGTGGTTGGTGGGAACCAAGTTTCTCCCTGTTGAAGTGAGAGGTTGGAGACAAGCAAGTGGAGGCTAGAATTATCCATGTGGTGATGAATTAGAGTTGGAGATATTAGTGTGAACTTGTCTTTAGCTTAATAAAGATAGAGCTGATTACCTATACAAGTATTTTTATATATCGTATAAGCATGGGTTAGTATGTACACATATATTCCCTTGGTTTGTCTGATGAAAGAGCCTAAAAGCAACAAGCACGCCTAGTGTCCAAATACTGATTTCTAATCTCCAGTAAGATGAACCAAGACTCCTTAGAGAAATGGTCAGTACTAGGACTGGATAGGAAATACACAAGATGAGCCTGCAGCATCTCATGGTGACAGAAACTAAGAACGTGTTGAAACACACACACAATGATAGGGGCATGTTAAAGGACAAGGGGGCAAATGAAAGAGTCCCAGTGACCTGAGCTAAAATAATTTGAGCAGCCAAGTAGATTAGGTAATATTGGATTATAACTCAAAGTATAAAATAGATAGAGGCGGGCGAAAGTAGGCTTACAGTTGTTCATAATAAATAATACAATAATAAATAATAATACAAAAATAAACTTTTACATACTAAAAACTGTAAACCTACCTTTGCCCACCCCTGTATATCCATTAATTCATACTGATATAAGTAAATTATTAATTGAAGAACTCCAAATAATTAATGTAGATACTTCACTCCCAAGGAAGCCCTGTAACTTCCCACTCTGTAAGGCTGTGCGGAGTGACTCCCTTCCAAAGAGTACAGTAGGGAGGAGATTTATCATGGAGAAACCTGACAAACACTATCTCAGCCAGTTGATTGAAGTCAGATTCAACAGTGATAGAGTACGTTGACAGTATTTATTCTTGATAAATACTCTGTGGTCTTCCAAAAATCCTATACTTCAGTCTAATCATGAGAAAAATAGCAGATACATCCCAATAGAGGGACATTTACAAAGTAACTGACCAGTACTCAAAATTATCAAGATCATCAAAAACAAGGAAAGTTTTAGAAATTGACATATCTAAGAGGTGACTAAGGAGATATAATGATGAAATAAAAATAATGTGGGATTCTGGATGAAATCATGGAAGATAAAAAGGACATTAAGTAAAAACTAAGGCAGTTGAATAAAGAGTGGACTTTAGTTAATAATTATTATTATTTGCCCGGCTGTTATGGTGCAGTGGTTGAGTGTCGACTCATGCACCAAGAAGTTATCAGTTCAATTCCCAGTCAGGGCACATGCCCAGGTTGTGGGCCGGCTCCCCAGTGGGGGGCATGCAGGAGGCGGCCAGTCGATGTTCTTTCTCATGGATGTTTCCAGCTCTCTCTCTCTCTCTCTCTCTCTCTCTCTCTCCCTTCTTCTCTTTCTAAAATCAATAAAGAAAAATAAATTAAAAAAGAATAATTATAATTAATAATATTTGTTCAATAATTATAGCAAATATATCATACCAAGGTAAGATGTTAATAATAGGGGAAACTGGGTGTGACATATATGGGGACCCTCTGTGCTATCTTCACAATTTTTCTGCAAATCTAAAATTACATATTCTTAAATAAAATGTTTATTTTTATTATTATTTTTTTTAATCCTCACCCGAGGACATTTTTTCATTTCCTGTTCAGATAGAGTAGGAGGAAGAGAGAGGGAGAGGGAGAGGGAAAGGGGGAGGGAGAGAAAGAGAGAGAGAGAGAGAGAGAGAGAGAGAGAGAGAAACATCGACATGAAAGGGACACATCGAGTGGCTGCCACCCGCACGACCCAACCAGGGCTGGGGACAAACAGCAACCGAGGTACGCGCCCCTAGCAGGAACTGAACCCGGGTCTCCCTGGACCACAGGCCGACGCTCTAACCACTGAGCAAAACCGGCCAGGGCTAAAATAAAATGTTTCTTTAAAAAAGAGAGAGA